TACACGCTGGCTTAAAGGCGTTTATTTACCAACATTAATATATATAACAGAGAAAAGTATAGAATCGAAAGGATCTGAATAGCTCAGTTGGAAGAGCAGTCGCCCGGCAAGCGAAAGGTCTCGGGTTCGATTCCCGATTCTGCGACTTTCGGATCTATATTTTTCTCTCGCACTTTATTTCTTTAGGGGGAATAGGGGATACATGGAATTAAAAATCTCTTGTAGAGATTATTCCAATTTTATATCTTGGCCGTGTCCAAGTAAAAATTTGGTGCCTTGTGCACAGGTATTTAATTCTAACGAAAAAATTTAGTTTCGTTTAGAATAACGCACTGTCATCCGCGATTTGGCTCTTATTGCCTATCTTATATATGTTAAATTTATATTTATATATTACAGAGCCTAGTTAAACTCTTAATTTATACACGCTGGCTTAAAGGCGTTTATTTACCAACATTAATATATATAACAGAGAAAAGTATAGAATCGAAAGGATCTGAATAGCTCAGTTGGAAGAGCAGTCGCCCGGCAAGCGAAAGGTCTCGGGTTCGATTCCCGATTCTGCGACTTTCGGATCTATATTTTTCTCTCGCACTTTATTTCTTTAGGGGGAATAGGGGATACATGGAATTAAAAATCTCTTGTAGAGATTATTCCAATTTTATATCTTGGCCGTGTCCAAGTAAAAATTTGGTGCCTTGTGCACAGGTATTTAATTCTAACGAAAAAATTTAGTTTCGTTTAGAATAACGCACTGTCATCCGCGATTTGGCTCTTATTGCCTATCTTATATATGTTAAATTTATATTTATATATTACAGAGCCTAGTTAAACTCTTAATTTATACACGCTGGCTTAAAGGCGTTTATTTACCAACATTAATATATATAACAGAGAAAAGTATAGAATCGAAAGGATCTGAATAGCTCAGTTGGAAGAGCAGTCGCCCGGCAAGCGAAAGGTCTCGGGTTCGATTCCCGATTCTGCGACTTTCGGATCTATATTTTTCTCTCGCACTTTATTTCTTTAGGGGGAATAGGGGATACATGGAATTAAAAATCTCTTGTAGAGATTATTCCAATTTTATATCTTGGCCGTGTCCAAGTAAAAATTTGGTGCCTTGTGCACAGGTATTTAATTCTAACGAAAAAATTTAGTTTCGTTTAGAATAACGCACTGTCATCCGCGATTTGGCTCTTATTGCCTATCTTATATATGTTAAATTTATATTTATATATTACAGAGCCTAGTTAAACTCTTAATTTATACACGCTGGCTTAAAGGCGTTTATTTACCAACATTAATATATATAACAGAGAAAAGTATAGAATCGAAAGGATCTGAATAGCTCAGTTGGAAGAGCAGTCGCCCGGCAAGCGAAAGGTCTCGGGTTCGATTCCCGATTCTGCGACTTTCGGATCTATATTTTTCTCTCGCACTTTATTTCTTTAGGGGGAATAGGGGATACATGGAATTAAAAATCTCTTGTAGAGATTATTCCAATTTTATATCTTGGCCGTGTCCAAGTAAAAATTTGGTGCCTTGTGCACAGGTATTTAATTCTAACGAAAAAATTTAGTTTCGTTTAGAATAACGCACTGTCATCCGCGATTTGGCTCTTATTGCCTATCTTATATATGTTAAATTTATATTTATATATTACAGAGCCTAGTTAAACTCTTAATTTATACACGCTGGCTTAAAGGCGTTTATTTACCAACATTAATATATATAACAGAGAAAAGTATAGAATCGAAAGGATCTGAATAGCTCAGTTGGAAGAGCAGTCGCCCGGCAAGCGAAAGGTCTCGGGTTCGATTCCCGATTCTGCGACTTTCGGATCTATATTTTTCTCTCGCACTTTATTTCTTTAGGGGGAATAGGGGATACATGGAATTAAAAATCTCTTGTAGAGATTATTCCAATTTTATATCTTGGCCGTGTCCAAGTAAAAATTTGGTGCCTTGTGCACAGGTATTTAATTCTAACGAAAAAATTTAGTTTCGTTTAGAATAACGCACTGTCATCCGCGATTTGGCTCTTATTGCCTATCTTATATATGTTAAATTTATATTTATATATTACAGAGCCTAGTTAAACTCTTAATTTATACACGCTGGCTTAAAGGCGTTTATTTACCAACATTAATATATATAACAGAGAAAAGTATAGAATCGAAAGGATCTGAATAGCTCAGTTGGAAGAGCAGTCGCCCGGCAAGCGAAAGGTCTCGGGTTCGATTCCCGATTCTGCGACTTTCGGATCTATATTTTTCTCTCGCACTTTATTTCTTTAGGGGGAATAGGGGATACATGGAATTAAAAATCTCTTGTAGAGATTATTCCAATTTTATATCTTGGCCGTGTCCAAGTAAAAATTTGGTGCCTTGTGCACAGGTATTTAATTCTAACGAAAAAATTTAGTTTCGTTTAGAATAACGCACTGTCATCCGCGATTTGGCTCTTATTGCCTATCTTATATATATTTATATATTACAGAGCCTAGTTAAACTCTTAATTTATACACGCTGGCTTAAAGGCGTTTATTTACCAACATTAATATATATAACAGAGAAAAGTATAGAATCGAAAGGATCTGAATAGCTCAGTTGGAAGAGCAGTCGCCCGGCAAGCGAAAGGTCTCGGGTTCGATTCCCGATTCTGCGACTTTCGGATCTATATTTTTCTCTCGCACTTTATTTCTTTAGGGGGAATAGGGGATACATGGAATTAAAAATCTCTTGTAGAGATTATTCCAATTTTATATCTTGGCCGTGTCCAAGTAAAAATTTGGTGCCTTGTGCACAGGTATTTAATTCTAACGAAAAAATTTAGTTTCGTTTAGAATAACGCACTGTCATCCGCGATTTGGCTCTTATTGCCTATCTTATATATGTTAAATTTATATTTATATATTACAGAGCCTAGTTAAACTCTTAATAAATATATATTGTATTATATATTCAGCAATATCCTGATTTACAGAAAATATTTCAATTTTCCTTTTCCTCCCGTATAAAATATAACATTTTATAAATCACAATTTTTATCAAATAAAATATGAAAGGTTTGTTATCCGAGGAAAAAGAGAGAGAGAGAAGGAGAAATATAAAGTTAATGCGCCGTTTCTAAATATTCGAGCTTTGTAAAGGATAAGAAAACACTGAGAGGAAGTGTCACATCGTGCTTGAAAGCAGGAGATAATAACGCGTGCATTGTCGTCACTGTTTGCACACGGAACACGAAGAGAATGTGAAGAAAACCAGAGCGCTTTCCACAAGCTGCATATACTCTTCGCAAAATGGTAGTTAGGTTCCTGCTAGCGGCCATCCTTTAAATTTTAAATAAAACCTCCGGCTTGTGTGTGTGTGTGTGTGTGCGTGCTCGAGGACTCACCGTTCAGGTACAGACAATGAATCGCCGCGGGTCAACCTCGTCGGCAAGTCAGACTCGAGCAGCAGATATATTCCCACGGAATTACCCCGTTTCAAGTCGCGGAATAATATTTTCAGATCCGCTGGGATAAAATATTCGTTTCTCACAGTCGGAATAAATTTTACAAGCGAGAAGAACCAATGAGGGATCTATGAGGGAAGAGAGAATGGGGATTACAATGACAGGAGTGACGGATGGCTGGAAGTGGTGAGAGAAAAAATCCTCAGGTTTATATGTTTCGACAGGATTCACGGAGACACGGAACATTGAGAGGAAAAAAAAAAGGTAAAAAGATCAATTGAACTTTAAGGTCGATTTTCGAGCTAATCTATATTTTTTATATGTGATAAAAGTATTTTCTTAGTACTTTAAAAATTCTATATGCGCAAATAAAATATAAGTAAATAAATCTATTTTTAATAATAACCTCTTGTTTATTACATGGATAAGAAATAAGTAAAATAAAATTATTATATAAATATTTAGTAGTCAAATATCTGCGCTTTTTTACAGATATAAATTCACATTTTTTTTAGACTTTCACAAAAAGTATAAAAATACAATTTTAGCACGACACGACGTTTTCTCTTGTTAATTTCGCGCGGAATTTCTGCGCAGCAAACAAACTGTCAAATAAGCAAGCTATTCGACCCGAATCCGAATGAATATCTGTGCATGAGAGAAAGCTGTACAAAGGCAAAGATATATTGAACATCTTCCATCTATAGCTATTGCGATAGCTATTGCAAGCTATATATATGTTGAAGCCACGGCGATGGTTTATGCGACGGCAACCATCGGAAAGCCGCAAAGTCGATGGGAATTTTTGTGTCGAGCTTTTATGGATTCTTCGCAAGCCACATAGTCGCGACCTCGGAAAATAGGTTCTTAAACAAAGGCCGAAGAGTGCCATTCCATACCTTCGAAATTCCATTTTCTCGTCGTAATATTGGGAAAATGTGAGGAAAAGTGATATCAGTATTGATAACGATCAGTCATTCCTTTATGCTGCACGAGAATTATTTTTCTTTTTTCAATTTTATTTATCTATATTCATCTGTCAAACATTATTTAATTCAATTACAATTTCTGTCAATTTTAGAAACAACGCACATCATGAGATGTCATTTGTAAAGTGTGCGGTATCAGCAAATAGAATTAATCTCGCAATACAGTGGTTAGATTCCAGTAATTACTGCGCTGGTCAGAATAGTTTATGTAATGATTCAGATTAGATTCTATAATGAAGTGATTAATGTGCATAAACGAAATTTCGTCAATTTTTTTAAACAAAACTTTTTTGAAGGAAACATTTTTTTCTTTATTAAATGAGCGAAAAAGTTTTTTTTCACTTTAGGGTTCGCATGCAGAAAAATAGGCAAATATAGTGAAAATTAAAAAAGGATTCGATTTATTACATTTCGAGATTTTGATTTAAAAAATTTGAAAATAATTTTTGGATCATTTTTTATCATATGCTTTCAAGCCCTAACATATAAAAAAATCAGAAACATCGATGGCGAATGTTGTCTAGTTTAACATATCCTATATGTATTGATAAATCTATAAGTATTGTCATTATTCAGTGGATATAATATATTTTTATATTTGTTTTTACAGAAGGAAAATATACAAAAAAAGTTAAAGTCAAAAAAACATTTTCAGACTTCTGTAAAGCAGACTCTCATCGCTAATCGAAAGAAAGAGGGAATAGCAAACTTGACCTTCACTTCGGATGAATCAATAATGACTAATTCTATAGAAAAGCTCGATCGTAAGTGATATTAATATCAAGAATTTAAATGTTGCTGTATTGAAAAAGAAATCAGTATCTTTCAGCCTAGATTGTCGGGCAATAAATAAAGAGTCAAAGTTAAAATTTTGCACGATATGTGTGACATGCTTATTTGAGATTGGGGAAACATTAAAAAGTTAAAAAATGTACAACAATTCTTATGCAAGCAGTAACGATTGGAGTAACGATTTCGATTCATCACTATTATTTGGCTTAATAAATTAATCAATTTCTAGTTGTTCTTGCGTAGATTCTGTCCTTCCTGATTTTTTTTCTACAAAATTAACTATAAAAAGAAAACATATTCATGTTCAATAAAATTGATACAAAAGTGTCAAAGTAATATTGATGTTTAATCATTTGTTTAATTTGCCATTTGTGATATTTATGAATATTTCTTGTTGTATTTTACTTTAAAGGAAGATCAGAAGAACAGAACGACACCAAAAAAATTAAAAATGATTAATTTATTAAGTAAAACAATCGTGACAAACTGAAATATTACTCCAAGTGCATACGAATTACAAATTTTTAACTTATCAATGTTTTTATAATGCATGAGAGCTCGGTCCACTTATTTGTAAAATATTTTATTATTTGTAAAATGCTCTCTATACGGTCCACCTGTACTTTCAAAAAGAAAATATTTCAAAGAATATTTATTTACAAATAAAACTTTTTTTTAACAGCAATGAAAACAAAATTTTTAAAAATGTAACTATCATACCTACTTTAATAAATATTTATATTTTGTTTCGCTGCGAAATATTTTTCTCTCCATTGATAGTTTTGATTCTTGAAAATGTTCTAATACATTATTTATTTTTATATTTTCTCTCGCTACGAAATATTTTTATCTCCATTGCGATAGTTTTGATTCTTGAAAATGTTCTAATATATTATTTACTTTTAAAAGTATATAATACTTATATCGAATTTTATTTATTAATCAAAGAAATTCATATTGCAGTGTTATCAAGTTCAAAAAAGCAATTAGAAAACCCACTTGGTCAGAAAATGGATAGTTTACAAATTGCTATCACGAAACTCACAAGTGAAATTTCTACATTAAATAAAACTTTAAAGGATAGAAATAATAAGATCGAATCAGTTAATAATGTTTCCAATGAAAAACCATTTAGCCTTGATCCGCACACAAATAATTACTACCTACAGTATCCTGTGGACGAAGATCTTAATCCTACAAATATAAATGTTCCATCTGATCTAAATGACTTCAATATGGAAATGGCTATTGTCATTGATCAAGAGAAAGAAATCAAAGATGTGCCAAAAGAAAGAAATGAAAGAAAAGAGAAGAATAATCATTCTAAACAATTGCTGAGTTCAAAAGAAACAAATATCAATGTCCAAGATGATGTTACTGTATCATCAATAAAAACTGGAATAGAGGAAAATATTCAAGTGAAATGCAAAACCGTTTCCAGATCATTATTTTCACAATTGAGTGATTCGGTACGATATTTAGAATTTGTTTATTAATTTTAAGTAATATTTAATACCATTGTTTACATAATTATATTCATATAATACACATATATTTTTTTTCACAGAAACTAAATAAATCCATTGTTCTTATCGGCGGCATTGAAGTGTCACAAGAAAAATTAGCTCAATGTTCACGAAAAGCATCATTAACCAAATTTGTGAAGGATGTGATGCTTCTTATTTTTACTGAACAAGAAATGGCTAATTCTTCGCTGACTGGCACTACACCGAACCTACACGCAAATCATAAAGATGATGTACTTCAGAAACAGAAGTTGGATCCAATTCGAGTCAAAGCTTTACATGGTAAATATTTGCTACTTATACTTTCATCTACTACTTCTTATTTACTACTACTTTTTTTAAAAATAATTTATAATAGTAGCTGTATATTTAAAAAGCTTTTTTTTCAGAGTATGTAGCAAAAGAAATGCCATCGAGATACGATGAAAAACTCGTGCAGGAAGCTATAAAGCAAAAGCTGCATTATATTAGCAAAAGAGTTCACGGGGTAGCGTTTAAAAAGGAGGCCAAATTATCATCAACATAAGATAAAAGATGGATATATAATATATATAGCTAAGTTTTTATAGATTATATCGTTTTTATTATTTTAATTTCATGAATCAAAATGAACACGCACGTTTAATTTACTCTGTTTTTTGTGCAATTATTTTTTGTTTTTACGTAAACAAGATATAAAAAAAAATTAAAAATTGATAGATGAAAATTTTGTTCGGTTCCTCCATTTGAACCATACACATTTATTTTCTGTTGATTTGATGCAGAAGGTGTGTTAGCTGTCACGAACTTAACACTTCTTGTGTGTCAACTAAATAAATGTTTTAAATCAACAGAAAAATGTATGTACATTAAATGGATCGAACAACGAACTGTATAGTGTATCTAGCGAAAATAATTTTTATTTCTGTTATATATATATAGTAGTAACTTATGAAAAGAGAGTTTTTTCTTTTTATTTTTTAAGATTAATATAAAATGCCTATAATCGATTTTATTTTTTGAGATTAAATGAGAGAGCTTTTTATTTTTTGAGATTAATAATTAGATATAAGAGCAATAATGCGAGGCGGGCAGAGAGATATATATAATATAGCGACCTTCTGTGATATTTGTTATTATTTATACATGTACTTAAACAATATATGTATATGTAACAATATTTCTGAAACAATATATTAATATAACATATTAATAAATATATATTAAATTATTATATTTATATTTCAGAGTGTATTTATATGAAAACAATATAATTCTGATTTCATCATTACAAGTGCCATTGAAAATGCCACTCATTTATATTCTAGTGGTACTTTCAATGGTGTTTTGTCAATGGTAATATTTTACCACTGGAGATTTTATCACTGTCCAGTGGTAAAATCTCCAGTGGTAAAATATTACTATTGGCAAAAACTCATTCAGTTTGCCATTGAAAATATCATTGATTTCCAGTGGTTTTTTCAATAGTATTTTTAATGATAAAATCATCTATTTTTTCGCGTGACACTGACAAATTCTGATTCCGTTATGACACGCGAGAGCAGCAGCATTTTAATTTGAAGTTTAATCACTCGTACATTTAACATTGTAAAAAGTTGTTAAAAAGCCGTGACAAATAAAATCAAATTTGCCATAAAATTTGCAACCAGCATAAATGGAAGTTTTGCGAGGCTATACTAACGATACAATCTGTCCGTGAACAAATTTTCCGCTCGACCTGTGTTAAGGTAAAAAGAAGAGAGAGAGAGAGAGAGAGAGAGAGAGAGCGAGGGAAGGAGAGACATTAATGTGTGCGCAACGATGCTTATCGATGATCAACCAGCTGTATCGCATTTCCAGCGACATAACTCGCCACCTCGCGTGGGCGATTCGATCAATCGTATCGATAATGAATATCAGGAGAAAGAGATGGGTATAATCTCGAATTGGCTCTCCAATATTTAACTTTTAAAATACCTTCAACTTATAAAAACTCGCGCATTATGTTTTAAATTTAATAATTTAATTTCAATGATATATTTTTTAAACACATATACTATTTTTTTTATTCTTATATATCTTACATTTCAATTAATTTGTATAAACGAAATTTCCGCGTCACAAATAATTTTATTCGTGTTTATTTATCTGTTAATTTTAACATGTCTGCATAACAATCTTCTACGAGCTCGCTTGGTCGGTGATCAACGACCTGGCACAACAGTTGGCACCAAACACAATGGGAAAGGGAGGAGTGTAACCGCGAAACGAGTCGTCCGTCCTCATTTTTTCCCCATCACCGCGGCTGATTAAATCCCTTTGATTTATCGCGCGAAATACGATGCGCGATGTGTTAACCCTTCCCACGGGCTTTTTGATTCCCGTAGGACGATGGGTCGACCGGCGCTTTCCAGGGCTTCATCAATCGCTCGTAGTCATTCTCCCTCTCTCTTTCTCCCTCTTTTGCTCTCGCAAACCTCGATGAGAATCAAGCTTAATCATGAGAGATAAATAGTTGGAACGAATTCAAAGAGCGTGTATACATACAAGAGCACTGATGAATCGGCTTTCACCGTGGATGATATATTTTAGAATGATGCGAATTATTAGCGAGCGAACTAACTTCAGCAAAAGCAAATCCCAATCTATAACATGATCATTTGAATGGCTCAATTAGTCAACTATTAAAATTGTACTCTTTAATATTGAACTGAAGATAAATCAAAGATTACTTCCACGTTATGTACATATATCTGCACAGAAAAAACAGTATCCTTGAGAGAATGCAAATATGCCTTGATTCAAGTATATTTTATCATTATAATAGCACCAAATATAAATAATTTTGGATAAAGGATAATTTATCCTTAAAACAAAGTGCAAAATATATTCTTGGTTGAAGCTGAAATTTACTTATAAATATTGCAAGGACAAGTGACAAGTGTGCATCGGATATAAGCGGTACTTTCAAATATATATAATAATTCTTAGTTCAAATGTGACTAAGTTTGTTTTTACCATATACGATTTTTAAAACAAGAATATATCTTAAGGATAAAATATACTTTACACAAACTTATTTATTATTAAGGCAAATGAAAATTTGTGATTACAAAGAGCATTCTATGCTTAAATCAATCAAATAGCGTTCAAGAATAAAAATATACTTGAATCAAGGATTCCTTTTTTTCTGTGTGCTTTACAAATGTAAATAAAAATTAAAATATAATGAGGCCAATAAAGATTCACAAAATATCAAAGATTGTTCTCATCTTTTGTTGAATTATTTATTGTAATTTTTATGTAAATGTATACAACTTTTTTTCGTAAATGCGTATACAACTCTTCCATAAATTTAATAATTAAAAATCAAACGTGCAGATAATATTAGATTTATCTTGAAATTTGCATCGAAACCTATTAGAATTGAACCAGCAGAATGAAAATACATGGTTTGGTTCGCATCCGATCTTCTGCAATCGATCAATCGATGTTTACGTACATCGTATCTGCGAGATGCATTCATTGCTAAATACGATTGTTTGGTTCTAATCCCCGGTTTACAACGTATGTACACAAAGTGCAGTATTTAACACGTGAGTAAATTTTGCATTAAACAGATATTTAATGCATTATGCAAATATTAATGATTGTATTGTTTGTAATATTGGGAAATATTACAAATCATCATTTTCAAAGGCTAATATGCATATGCTCACTAAATAGTTTAATTAGCTAATAGTTTAATTGAAAAAATGTATTACTGAGGATTATAGAGTTGCAATAATAGTATCGTATCATTTATAATTATTAATTAATATATAAAAACATTAAGAATAATATATCTTTAATACAAAGTGATAAATATAAGGCCAACTTATCGAGCTGAATATTCGAGATGTTCAGTCAACTACCATTTATTACATGTATAAATTATAAAACTACAGTCATTATATTATATTAAAACTAACGCAAATTAACGCAAATTACAATCATTCTATAAACGTTTCGACCGCACGCGGTCTTCTTCAGTATAATTATTGAAAAATAAATTCTTACAATTCACATGATATCGAAATTTAATTATAGTTATTCAGAATCGAGAGTTTTTGAGCAATTAACGCGTGTTTCAATCCGTCCTGTCCAACAATGTTCGCCTCGATATGATCTCTGATTTTGTTCAGATCTCGGATGATTTCATCGTTAATATGCGAGAAATTAACCCGTACCGTAGGCGCTGCGATTAATAAGAAATTACCGATCAACGTATGTCCAAATTATAATATATATCCCCTACAATTGGTAGTATGCTTACCTATCATCGTTCTTCTTGACAATTTTGCTACTTATTAACAGTTATTAAGGATGACACTTAACAAACAACAATACAGAAAGACAGCTCATTTTAAACTCTACTTGATCGGAGAGCGTGCGTGTTTATATATGATCTAATATCTATGTTTTACTCGTTAATGTCCTATTTGTCCTATTATTATTTATTGTTCGCCAATATATCCAAAATATCAAAATACGACTCGCTAAGTAACTCAGTATCTTTGTTTAAATTTAGTCCATTTTTTTGTTCCTTGATATGTAGCATCTCAGAAATGAGTCTTTTATAATAATTATTTTCGTTGTCCATGATCTTAACATTGTCCCAATTAAAAGTATGATGTTCATTTATTATGTGTTCAGAAATTACTGAATGTTTCGTTGAGTCCAACCTAATATTATTTTTATGTTCTTTTATTCGCGTCTGCAATTGCCTCTTTGTTTGGCCTACATAAGATGCATTACAATTATTGCAACTGATCTTATAAACCACATTCGAATTGCATGGATGTTTAGTTTTATCTTTCTGTGCTTTAATAATATTATCCAGTTTGTTGAGACATCTATACCCTACCATACAATTTTTATTTTTCACCGAGGAAACAATCATTTCTGAGACCCTATCTATATACGGAATGACAAAGAATATTATATATATAAAATTCATATTATATGTATATTATATGTATAAAAATATTATATGTATAAAAATATATTATAGAATATTATATGTATAAAATTCATATTGACTTCTACATATTTTACATTTGATGACATAATTTATAAACAGACGTTTGGGACCCCTATGGGGTCACCGTTATCACCAATTATTGCAGACCTGGTTATGCAAGATCTTGAGGATACAGTTCTCAAAGCGTTGAATTTGGAATGTTTGTTTTATTTTCGTTATGTGGATGACATAATAGTGGCCACCTCTATGACTAATATGACTCAGATTGTGAATAATTTTAACAACTATCATGAAAGACTTAAATTCACGGTCGAACAAGAGGTTAATCATAGCTTGAATTTCTTAGATTTATCACTTAAAATTATTAATAACAAAATATATATAGACTGGTATCAAAAAGAAACCTTCTCAGGAAGGACGTTATCATTTTATTCAAACCACCCATTATGCCACAAAATTGGAATAATATATAACCTTGTAGACAGATGTCTATTGCTATCACATCCACTATTTTTTAATAAAAATTTGGAGTTAATTATTAATATACTCAGAAGCAATGGTTACCCTCTTGATCTGATTTTTAACAAAATTAATCATCGGATAGAACACATCATATCTAAGGGGAGCATTTTAGAGAGACAGGCCAACATAGAAAGAACAAAAAGTATAAGAAATGACTCGGTTAATAAAAAATTCTTTGTCATTCCGTATATAGATAGGGTCTCAGAAATGATTGTTTCCTCGGTGAAAAATAAAAATTGTATGGTAGGGTATAGATGTCTCAACAAACTGGATAATATTATTAAAGCACAGAAAGATAAAACTAAACATCCATGCAATTCGAATGTGGTTTATAAGATCAGTTGCAATAATTGTAATGCATCTTATGTAGGCCAAACAAAGAGGCAATTGCAGACGCGAATAA